TTCACTTAAATCAATACGTGTCTCTTACCTAGCTGGCAGTTTTCCCTTCCTTCCTCTGCCATCACTAGTAACCAACAAAGAAAGCTTCTTCCATGTATAAACCTTTCCTTGACTTTTTATAATAGTGGGGGTCTTACCATATTTGTCCTTCTGTGATTGACTTATTTTACTTACCATAATGTCCTCCAAATTCATCTACATTGTCAGGTGTTTTACAGATTTCTTCATATTCTTCAATGTTGCATAGTATTCATTGTGTACATGGAATCATAGTTTGTGTATCCATTCCTACACTGATAGCCACTTAGGTTGTTTCCATGTTTTTGCTATTGTGAATAGTACAGCGATGAATATTAAATTCTGATTCCTTTGAAGGAATAGTGAGCATGGATGTGCATATATCTGTTTGCATTCCAGTTCTTACTTCTTTAGGATGTATACCTAGTAGTGGGGTTGCTGGATCAAGTGGTGTTTCTAATTCCAGCTTTTTAAGAAAGCTTCATACCGTTTTCCACAAGAGTTGTACCATTTTACAGTCCTACAAGCAGTGTATCAGAGTTCCATTCTCTCCACACCCTCACCAATATTTGTGGTTTTCTGTCTTGTTGAACTTTGCTGTTACTGCTGGAGTGAAATGAAATCTCATTGTTTAAAATTTGCATCTTTCTAATGGCTAATACCATGAGGATTTCTTCCTGTGTTTGTTGACTGTCTACTGTCTAAATACCTTCTTTTGATGAAGTGTCTGTTCATGTCCTCTGCCACGTTTTTAATTGGATTATTTGTCTTTTTGATTTTGAGATGTAGAAGTTTTCTGTAAATTTTAGCGATAAATCCTTTGTTGGAATGTTGTTGCCAAATATTTTTGCTCAGTCTGTAGCTTCTCTCTTTATTCTTTTGGAGAGATCTTTTGATACACCTGAGTTTAATTTTTAGAAGGTGCCACTATTTCTTTAAATTTTTTCCATTCCTTCTCTCCTCTCCTTCTGGTGCTCCCACTGTGTAGGGGCTTAATGAGGGCCCACATTTCTTTGGAACGCTTCATTTTTCCTCATTCTTTTTTCTCTCTCCTCTTTAGCTTGCATAATCTCTCAGTCTATCTTTAATTTATTGTTTCTTTTGCTCGTTAGTTCAAACCTATTGTTTCACCCATCTAGTAAATTTTTTAGTTTAGTTTTTGTTCTTTCCAATACCATAATTTGTATTTGGCTTTTTTTTTTTTTATCTCTTTATTGCTATTTTATATTTGATATTACATTGTGATCAATCTTCCTTTACTTTTTAATCATCCTTTCCTTTAGTTCTATGAAGTATTGATACTGGCTACTTTGACATCTTTTCTGATTACTCTCTCAGTGAGTTCTCTGTTGCCATACTTTTTTTCACTGTATGTATTACACTTTCCCATTTCTTTGTCTGCCTCCTATATTTTTGTTGGAACCCGGATCTTTTAGATGAGTGTTTTGTAGCAATTCTAGGTACTGGTTCCTCCCCACCCTGGGGCTTATTTTTGTTGCTTGTTTGCTTGTTTAATGACTGGCTGGATTATTTTAGTGATGGCTAACCCCTCCCCATACTGCTTCTCTCTGGGGTGAAAGTGCTTTTGGTAGGGCTGTCTTCCTCTTTCCCTGACCACATCCAGCTGTTCCACTGCAGGAATTGCCAAATATCTTTATTGTTTCCAACAGTGTTTTGGGGCATAAATTGTTCTACAGATGAATCCAATTAAATTCTGATTCCTTTGAAGGAATATTTCCTGAGGTCAGTATTTGATATTATTCCGACCCCAAGAAGGTTTCTCTAAACTATTTTATTCCTGAGTTCTCTCCTATAAACTAGCTGACCTATAGTTTAGCCTGTATCTTCAGTCTTCTGCCAGTTGCCTTTCACCACAAATTCTACTTGTTCTTGAGAATGCTTTTATTTTTGAACTTCCCTGAGCTGTATTGCAAGTGAAATCAGTTCCTTTGGAAAAAGATTAGGTCTGCATATTGCCTGACACGAAAACTTCAGAGCCAGGGCTTTGGCACTGGGGGTGGAAACTCAAAGCTTCTTCAAGTGACATTCCTGCTTTCAGGCCTGAGTTCTAGGTGGAGATATGGTGAAACAATCTAAGGTTTTCTGGGCTTGCATCTCCTGCTGTTTAACCACTGAGCCTGCTTAAAGGCTGTCAGCCCCAATTTTCTCGGCGTGCCTTGCCTAAAATACAGCTCTTCATGAATGCAGGTTGGGCGGAAGAAGGAAGTCCCTGCTTCTCAACCGAACTACCCTGGGATCTATCCTCAACAGGCAGCTAGGGGCTGAATGAGAAGTACTAATAGTCTGCTCTTCCTGGAAAGAAAGCCCTTCAGTTGTGAGAGCTGGGGAAATAAGGAGCTTTGTGGTCTTAAGGCAGCAATCTATAGTAGAGTCTGCTTCACTGGGCCTGGGATGGAGGAGGGGGGTCAATCTGGGTTCAGATACCACAGACTCTAGCTTCTCATACAAATTTTCACAGATTGTTTTTCTTTTTCTTTTTTTTTTTTTGGCTTTCAAAAAGAAAAGTTTATTTCCTGCTTATATTATATGCCCTTTGTGATTTGGCTTTGACTCCATTCTGTGTCTTCTGTATTGCAGAACTCAGGCTAGAGAGGCTGCCCCTAGTTAGGACATACTAGACTCAGGGCTGATGGAAAAGAGTGATCGTCACAGATTTTCTTGAACAGATAGCCACCAGAGCTCCTATATACAAATATACATATATGTGTGCCTTATTTAGGTGCAAAGGAAAAATGAGATGATTGATTTAGGTCAGAAAAATATTAATGGGGGAGATTAAATTTACACCAGTTTCCCTTTTCAAAAGATAAGATTGAATTAAAAATCTATTTTATTTCTGAGGTAAAGTCATTCTTTGAGTCATTTGTAGATTTTTTTCATGGTTTTGAGGAGCTGTGTTTAAAGTCTTTGTTTATCTTATTTCTTAAAATACCATGGGAAATAGTGAAAATAGGAGCCAAAATCACTTTATTTTGAGAAAATAGTTTCCATGTATTTTTGTAGTGTTGGAAAATTACTGTTATAGGCAGTAGATGTGTTGGAGATAGAAGAAATTTACATTCTACTCCTGTTCTCATTGCCGCCAAAACAGTGATGTTGAGGACGTCATTTTACTTGGTTTTCACTTTTCCCTTTTGTGAAATCAAAGAGATAGATTAATCTTTAATAGTGTTATTTAATTATGCTAAAGGTAGCCTTAAGTGATCTCTCTCCTCTACAATAAATGCTTTTCATCCCAATCAACAAAAGGACAGACTAATCTAATGATTGAAATACATTAATTTTATTTTGTCTTTATTAGGTAACAAACTCACAAGTTCAGCAATAGCCAGAGATGTCTAAAGTCATGCATATAATTTTAAAGTAACTTTTTTTGTTATGGAAGTAACGTTTGTTAACTATTAAAAGAAACCTGTTGCCATCACATTGATTCCGACTCATCATGACCCCATGTGTTACAGAGTAGAACTCCATGGGGTTTTCATGACTTTAACGTCTACAGAAGCAGATTGTCAGGCCTTTCTTCCATGGCACCACTGGGTGGGTTCGAACAGCCATCCTTTTATTAGTCAAGCACAAATCATTTGTGCAAGTCAGGGACCTATTGTTAACTGAAAAACCTGGGAGGGGGCAGCTATAAACTCACACTAGTATACACACACACTATTTTTCCCTTCTGTGGATCTAATCTAGCCTTTTTTTAAGCCAATTTAATCATTTTGTATCTGCTTTTTCAAGCTAAAAACAATAATGAACATACTTTATATTTATTTGCCTTTTAGAATTTTATACTTACATAATTCTTACTTAGGAACCAGGAAAAAAGTATTGTTATACCTGTTTTCCAGAGAAGTAATGATAAACGTCAGAGAAATTGTTTGTGGCAAAGCCATGGTTTTATTAATATAGTAGTTTTTCATCATAATTGCCTTCTTCCAAATGTGTCCATCTCTTGTACTTCCTCACACAAAACATCTCTCTAATGTTTTATTTTTTAAAAAATCATGATTACAAAAATAATAGAGAAATAAGACAAATTATATAAGCTGATTTTTACATTTTCAAAAAGAGACATTTGTTGATAACAGCTTCCTGTTTTGTTTTGTTTTTTTTAATAGATGCCATGCATTGTTTATTTTTTCCCATACTTTGAGATATATATTGTGATTTGGGTGAAAGTTTAAAGAGCAAATTCACTTTCCATACAGCAGCTCACATATACTTTGTCTCATGATATTGACTGCAGTTTCCCACAATGCAACAGCTCCCCTCCCACTTCCTCCCCATAGTTACCTCTTTTCCTTGTACCCTTTTCCCCCATGCACTCCTGCCCCCTGAGTGTCTCCCTGTGCATACTGCCCTTCTATTCTCCCATGATTGTTCTCTCCAAGGGGTGTATCTACCTAATATAAATTTTCAGCTGATAATGCCTGTCCTTTGTTTGGCTGGAGAGCATCCTGATTTTTATTAACTATATTTTATGACTTAAAATATATTTTAAGGTACATGTTGATTATATGTCTGATGGATATGTACATAATTCCAGTACTCTGCCCTATTCCCTTGTAGTAAACAAATTGTAGTCTTTCCAACCTAAAGATACTAAGTGTATTTATCACATTTTTTCCTTTTATTGCTTTATATGGTTTTATTTGTTCTTGTGAACACAGCAGCGCTTTCTTTAGTTTGTTTCATGCAAATATTTTATATACTCTTACATTCTGAATCTCATAGTTGAAATATTCAAACCAGGATTTAAAATTTTTTTTTAAAATAAAGAAATATGAATAGTTTAGAAAGAATTTTAAATTCCAGCTGAAAAATAATTTATGCTTCTGAATCTCTTGTAGTTTTTAATAGAAGCTTCATTATTGTCTTAAATATACTTCAGTACATGGAAAGTAAATTATTGGTAACCCTCCACATGTATGTTTTATTAGTGCCCTGTTTTTTCTTCCTAGGTTCGCCAGGCAGCTTTTCAGTCTCTGGGACCTTTCATATCTACTTTTGCTAATCCATCTAGCTCAGGCCAATATTTCAAAGAAGAAAGCAGAAGCTCAGAAGATAATTTGTCAGTAGAAGGCAAAAATAGGTACATTTTTAAAAATTTTGTTTTCAGATTTTACTGCTTGTGAAATTGTTTTTCATTTCCATTGTTTAATATAAGTACTCTTTTTGTAGAGTTTACTGTTCTTCTTGACTATAAAAACTGGTAAATAATTTAAATATGTTCAGTTACTAATGTCTGGTGCCTATGAACTGAGAAGATGCATGTGACCTACTTCTCTTGCTTCCTGGTACATAGAGCACTATAGGTTTTAGGTTAGTTAATTTTTAAATAAGTTTACTTAATAAATTATTGAACTAGTAAATAACCTGTTGGTATTTAGAATATACAGGGTAATGGTTTTATAGTTTAAAGCATTTCTTAAATTTGTTTTTAAGGAGTAAAACCTAGTTTAGGGATAGTAAAGTGTTTGCTTTTTATTTTTCCTACCAATCAGTTAATTTAGTTATAGACCTTAGAGTCTTTCTATAGAATGACTGTAGTCTCTTAATTGAGGGGGAAAGTATTTTAATAACTAGTACCAAATTTGAATACTTGATAATAAGAATATCAATTTTAAGTGTATTATTAGTCTAATAACCTAAATTTAAAAGAAATGCTTAAGACAACTCTTTCTTTTTCAAATTTACTAAAAAATTAAATTTTAGAAAAGATACTGTAATATATACTGAGGAAAAAACTATTCAAACCTTACTTAGTACGTGGGAAATATACAGAGACTTTTAAAATCATGTACTTAAAATAATTTAGTTCATGTTTTTAAAGGTCCCATAATGCTTGAGTTGCCATAGTGTCTTGTCATGATGCTAATGGAAATTTTCTTCTATAGGTCTTGATACTGTGATATTTGCTTTCTTGGTGTTTTGATTTGACAGTTCTTCCTTTCTTCTCTGCTGCCTTGTTTTACCTTTTTGCCCGTTCTCCTACTGTCCTGCTGAATAGCCAAACAAACCTGAGGTACTGTTTTTTGTAAAGGAAGAAAAATCACTCTAAACCTGCCTTCCTCACAAGCAGAGTCTGTCAGTTCTTTTGAAAACAGCTGCTGTGAGGCGTTTGACAGAAATGATGGTGGGGGAAAATGTCTGTTTTTATTTTTTAAGTCACTATACCTTTTTTCTATATGTGTATTGAAGATTATTACATCACATTTATTTTTAAATCTGGAAAAGATTTAGTAAGTTAAAATATAAATTTAAAGAGAATTATATGGGACAGGGGTCAGCAAACTTTCTGTAAAGGGCCAGATAGTAAGTACTTTTAATTTTATGACCATAAGGTCTATTGTAACTGCTCATCTCTGCCTTTGCAGCACAAAAGCAGCTATACATAATACATAAATGAACAGGCTTAGCTGTGTGCCAGAACACTTGGTGGGGCTATCTTGGATATTTATGGAAGAACTATTTAAAGCAGTTCCTTTAGCTATAGATGTCAATTCTTCTTTCATTGTAGGTAGATACCTTAATGACGGGTTAAATGTATTTGTTGCATTGGTTTCACTGTATCACTAGACTTTATTAAATTATTGTGTTAATGGTATGATGGTAAGGAAAAGGGAGTTCATAGCTAAGGAAGGAGGAGTGTTAAATATGCTAAAAGTTTTTGTATAATTTAACTTTGTATATTCCAAAAGAATAGTCCTTTATATTATTAAATCACATGGTTATTAAATGCTTGTTTGACTTCCCTTAAAAATCGTACTGGTTTCTGTCTTAAGCAGCATATTTACTTTAAGATTGGTTTGTTCATCATGCATAAATTAATTGAGCACCTACTATGAGTAAGGTAACTATAGATGGAAGGATAGAATTTGATTCGTGTTCTCAAAGTTGCCTCAATTTCCTAGAATTCAGATTTCTGAAGCACATATCTTACAAAGGAAGCAAGATTTTGATAATATATTTTCTACAACTTTTTTTTAATGTTTCCTCAGCTTTTAGAAGCATTTAATACTTCCTAATACTCCTTGAAGCATGTATTAGTTATAAACCTCTGACTTTACATACCAGATTTATGTTTTATTCATCCTGCAACTGCTGCTTTGAAGGAGTACATAAAGGCTATTCACATTTGCATGTTAAATTATGTAAAATCAGTGTTCTTTTTAATATTTGTTGTTGTTATTATGTGCTGTCCAGTCAGATCTGACTCATAGCGACCCTTCCTTGGGTTGCCGAGGCAGTATCACTACGGAAGTAGATTGCCTAACCTTCCTTCTGAGGAGGTTGCTGGTGGGTTTGAACCGCCAGCCTTCTAGTTAACAGTGAAGTGTCTTAGGCACTACGCTACCAGAGCTCCTTTTAATATTTAGTCAAGCAAAATACTGTACTGCTCTCTGAATGCACTGTATTCTGTTTGTTCTCCCTGCTGTCTTACTTGTTGCTTTCTGCTTGGGGAGCTCTCTTGTTCCATCTCTACTGTCACTGAACAGAGTGAATGTCTGTCTAGCTGCACTATCTGTAAGAATTCATTCCCCACTTTTCCAGGAAATACAGAGCTTTTATGTCATTGCTGTCCATAGGACTAGGATTATAGCACTAATCTGTAATCATCTCTTCATTTATTTCTTTGTCTGCATCAAATTTTATTGCTTATAGCTTCTGGCCCTGAGAGTTGTGGCCAGATCTGAAGTTTCTTTTTTTTTTTCCCCTTTCTTTTTAAAATTTTATTTCTTTTGCTGTTGTCATGAAGAATATACACAGCAAAACATATACTATCTCAGCAATTTCAGCATGTACAATTTAGTGACAGTTATTACATTCTCTGGTAGCATAGTGGCTAAAGCACTTGACTGCTAACCAGAGGCTGGCGGTTCAAACCCACCAGCCACTCCTCGGAAGGAAGGTTGGGCAATCCTACTTCCGTAGTGATACTGCGTAGTGATACTGCCTCGGAAACCCAAGGAAACCCAAGGAGGGGTCGCTATGAGTCGGGATCGACTCGACGGCACATAACAACAACAACAAATTACATTCTTTGAATCGTTCAACCATTCTCACACCCCTTTTCTGAGTTGTTCCTCCCTCATTAACATAAACTCAGTGCTTCCTAATTTTCTTATCTAATCTTTTGAATTGCTTTTGTCAGTTTGATCCTATGCAGATAGTCCTTAAAAAGCATAATGGGCAAGGCAGGCATTCCTTACTAATTAAGCTAGACTATTACTTGGTCTTAAGAAGACTTTGGGGATATTTTTGGTTTAAGGTTTAAAGATGAATTTTCTTAGGACAATAGTTTCAGAGGTTTATCCAACTTCCGTGGATCCAGATTTGACTGCTAACCAGAAGGCAGGTGGTTCAAACCCACTAGCCACTCCTTGGAAGGAATGTTGTGCAATCTACATCTGTAGTGATACCCCTGGGAAACCCAAGGAGGGGTTGGTTGTTATGAGTCGGATCTGGATCCAGCAGTGAGTGAGTGAGTCCCTTCTGATAACATGACCAAAGTATGTGAGATGATGTTTGGCCATTCTTGCCTCTAAGGAGCACTTGGCTGCACTTCTTCCAAGACAGATTTTTGTTCCTTGTGGCAATCCACAATATTTTCAGTATTCTTCCACAACATCACACCATTCAAATGCATCAATTCTTATTTATTGTCCACCTTTCACATGCATATGAGGTGATTGAAAATACCATGGCTTTGGTCAGGCACATCCTTCTTCAAAGTGACATCTTTGCCCTTTAACACTTTAAAGAGATCTTTTACAGCAGATTTGCCCAGTGCAATATATCCTCTAATTTCTTGATTGCCGCTTCTAATCACAGTAGCTGAAGACAATCCAGTTCTAATGATCTCATGCTAAAGGAGATAGTTTGTTCATGTAGGTAATCAGTCATACATCCTTTTCTTCCTCCTATTCTTGCCTCTCATTCTTCTTTTGATGCTTCAGGTGAATGGAGACCAATTGTTGTGCTTTGAATGGCTGCTTCTAAGCTTTTAAGACCCCAGGCACTAAGCAAAAACTAGGAGGTAAAACAGAAGCACTTAACACATTATTATTAGGCCAACTAACCAGGATGTCCCTTGAAACCATGACTCTAAAACTCTTAATCCAGGGAACTGGATACTGTGAGATGTATCGTTGTACATACGCAGCCTAAACATGTGGTCATCTTTTTATTGTGTATTTGCATATATCATCCAGTAGACTTTGAGTCCACTATTTGTAGTAATTAGTTTTTTGTCTTTGTATGTACTAACTCCTTCACTTGGCACAGTTTGCTGCATTATAAATTTTGAGTGAATTAGAAAATACTGATTTAATACCCAATTCTTACTGAACTGCTCTGCTGGTTTTTTGTCAGTACAGCTTAATACCAACTTTGTGAAAGTTAAATTGGTTGTTTTAGTTACACATTTGGAATTTTCCTTCATTCCTTCACTCACCAGATTTGGCAGATGTGTCTTGGAAAGCTTTCTTTGCTTTCTCCTCAACTTACAGTGCTTATTTAACCAGATAGTCATTTTCTCCTGGAAATAATTATACTTAATTTTCTGGATCCATGACTTCTGGTCAAGAATCTTTATTGTGTACTTGTAGACACTAAAAGAAACTTAAGGTTGTTTTTGAGAGAACTTTCTGGCCCATCCTGTGTGGTAGTTAAGTTTGTGTGTCATCTTGGCTGGCCAGCTGGATATAGTACACCCCATGATGAGACTGGTAATCAGCTCCATGGTGGAATCTACTGTGAGCAGCTAAGTAGCTGCCTTAGGGATATGGTCTGCTTCCTGTATATAAGGAGACAACCTGGGGAAAGGTAGCTAGCTTATTATGGCACGCTTGAACCCTGCATGTAGCCGTGTAGTTGTTCAACAGCCTGCCTTGCATCTGCTGATCTTGGGACTTTTAATGGACTTAAATGAATGGCCTGCCGTGTGGATTGGTAAATTGGGACTGTGCCTTGTTACTTGTCAACCTTGGGCTTGCCAGGCTTAGTAGCCAGCAGCTGCTTGAGTGAAGAAAAGCCTCTAGCTTCATTGGGCTGGCAGCAGGAAATAGAGCAGAAGCCCAAAGTCGAGGG